ATAATGTCGAAAAAATCAAAAAATGGCTACAAATAGTGGCTTCTTACGCTCACTAGCAAGTTGTTTTACCCGCCATTTTTGGTATCAATGGAAAGCTTCATCTTCGCTCTACATTTTCCCGCCAACCGATTGACCATCGTAAAAGATCGTATCCAATCACAAGGCTCATTTGAAGTAGTCGTCGAAAGTTCGCTAATTCGTTCCCAGATCCCCTAAATCTTCACTCGTCCAATATGGCTACAGGGTACAAACAGTTTGCCGTTTTTCGGGGCGCGCGTGCGCCGGGCACATACTCTCCAAAAAGCGGCACTTATGCGATCATTATGATCAGCGGTATCGCGCGCGACGGTATATTTGAATCCAATATGGCGGCGGTGTTTACAGTAGAAGAAGTGATCGAACAGGTCTTGGATTCGGACGGCGAAGATGAAGAAATTGTAGTTAATGAAGAAGAGGATAATGTAGATAGTGTAGATAATGTAGATAGTGTTGTAGATTCATGGTTAGATAGTTTTCCTGCTAAGGAAGGGTTTGATCGAGAGCTTTTCAAAGACATCGGGAAAGATTTGATAAAACCACTAGTAGTGCAGTGTTCAGCGAGCTGTGCATTGGGTGAATTACAGTCAAYTGAGCGTTCTAATGGTGAGTATTTGTATTGTCAAATGTCGCTGATTTTTCAATTGTTCTAAAATTTTGTTAATAAATAAGCTTAATTACGTAACTTAAGCTATGTCCAATCGAAACAAATGAAATGTTTAAAAACTAACTTACAATGTAAGCTTAACTTACATGTGTGTGATCACAAATATATTTTAGCTCTCTAGATATTTTAAACTTAATTAGCAGTTATGTAAAGTGAATGCTATATAATATCTGATAATTATGGAAAGATATTTKTAATATGGTGTTCTTTTTTATACTGTATAGCTGCTAGACTCCTCTGCTCTACAACACTTAATGCTGCCTCTATCCTTAGAGATGAATCACTGTTGTGGTTAAAAAAGATCAATGCTCGTCTTGGAGGGAGAGTGGCAATTCGTAGACCATATCACGGAAGTATCTCCAGAAGTATCCCATTTGATATCTTCAAGGTTGCAAAGCGKKTGCTATCAGAAAGTAGAAGTGGCAGCTTTTATGAACCACGCTGTTATATCAAGAGCAACCAAAAGGTTGAAGTTATCTGTTTTACTTCTATGTACTCAGTGCAGAAATTTTTATCTACCATTTCTGCACTGAGTATTAGTGAAGTAAAGCAGTACTTTAACCGCAAACTGAAATCAAGAGGAAGAGAAGACCATATTGTGAAGCTTTTGGTAAATGATGACAAACAGTTGGCCCTCACTTATTCTATCAGAAGGGGAGATCTGACTATCACTTTTGATTATGGAGAATGGAACACTTCTGGCTATCCCTTACATAACTGCGAATACGATCCGTACACTTCATAAATGGATACATCTGGCCCACACACACACACACACACACACA